TTGAGTGACCATAGTTCTGAAAGCGAATTTTATGCTAGCGATACTAAGGATGGTCAATCGGACGAAAGTCAGGAGTCTGATTCAATGAACGAAGTGGATCCAAACAGACGATACTTTTATGGAAAAAACTAGGTACAAATGGGCATCAGTTGAACTTACTCGTAATGTATACACTTCATCTAATTTATATAACGATGCACGTCATCGGCGTCATAGCCTGTGACGTTACATGATACCAACACAAAATATTTAGGGTGTAGGTGTGTTCTTTTTTAGAATCACTTTACCGAGTACACTGGCATTACAGCCACTAGACATATTTTATTATTCTACGCGTAGAAATAATATTTAAAAATTTCTATTAATGTTAACTTAAAGAAATACACAATAATATGTTTTATTTAATTTGTATAAATGAATTATAAAGTGTTTTTATCAAGAACATTTATTCGGAACACACTGTAACTGTAATCGAACAAAGCTAAAATTTTGGCATAAATTGGTAACACTTATTTGACAGTTGCGGTATTGACACTTTTTGTACTTCATTATTTTGAATTTTAAAGTGAATATCTCTTGTTTTATATTTTTAACTATTTAATAAAATCTTTTCTTTTTAAAACAAAACTAGTGTGTTTTATTTCAAAAATGTCACGTAAGAATTTAAATGGTCGTTGTAAAGAGATGGTAATACTTTTGTAATAATTATGTAATCTATTTGATTTAAAATGGAGTCATAATTTTTTTAAACTTTGGCAACTATGTCAACTTCGATCTCTGACGTAGATAATGACGTAAGTCGTTATCTAAATTAGATGAAGTATACCTGCTTCTAATTGATTGAGATTGCCTAATATCAATGGATCTTTGACAAAGATGGAACCACTGATGGCGTCACTTAAAATTGTTTCTAGAGATGTTGTTGATATTAGAGGGAATTAATTAGTATTTATAACTGGGAATAAGCCACAATTAAAGATAAAAAATACGTTTATTGACGTTTCAATTTCCAATTCGGAAATCGTTCTCAAAATACAAACAGTAAATTAAACAAATTTTGTTTTTTGTTACATAGTGAAAAAATTCTTCTAATAATTTAATTTTATCTGACTCATTTATATTGACAATTCAGACATACATTATGCATTTTAAAGTAGAGGACTTTAAAATGGTATTGCCAATATTGTTGAGTTGCGCTCCTGGGACGACTTTACTTATAAGATAGTTCATTCGATAACATGAAATCAACTGTAACTTGAGAATATCCGTCAGAAAAAATCATAGCATATAATTAGTCTTTAAAAAGACAAACACATGACATGATGACAGTAGAATTCTCCTGTTAGTGATTCCATAGTAAATTATGAGAGAAAAACCAGCAAAAAAAACCTCATAATACTATCCCGACATGGTAAGTATTTGTTCGTGCAATTAGTTTACCTTCAATAAACACCAAAATTCTGATTTTATATGCTTCGTTATATTAAAAACATAAATGATGTATCCTCTATATGTTACTGACTTACTAATACTGGTATTTTCTTATTAATAACTTCCTCTTTCAATATTGGAAAGAACGATTTCCGAATTGGAAATTGAAACGTCAATAAACGTATTTTTTATCTTTAATTGTGGCTTATTCCCAGTTATAAATAGTAATTAATTTACAATGCCACAAGAAAATAGCTTCAGAACAATATTAGAGGGAATATCGCGACAAGGACGGAAATCACAACCGCTCAGAATTTAGAGACACCAATAATACAGAGATCAATGGATTTTTGGGCCTTCTGTTATTGACAACAGTCTTCAAGTCTAACCATGAAGATATTACACAAAGCGAATCGAGCTAAAACTGATCCAGCTGCCGCAAGTTCCCACATTTTAAAGATATTCAACCAAAATTCTTACGTACTATGTGCTAATACTACAGTCGATGAAATGCTAGTCGGTTTTCGAGTGCGATGTAGGTTTAAAATGTATATACCTACCTAGTACACCCAAAAAGTATGGAATACAGATTCAACGTTTAGCAGATGCCCGCACCCACTATGTATACAAAATTTATACACTACTCAACAAATGAAGTAGATAATTTTAAAATTCCTAAAATTAACATATAAAACTATTTTAAAAATAATTGCCTGTACTATACTCTATATGCTATCTTTATTGCCAATATTTTTTGCATGTGGTTTTTCCTCATTCTTATCGGCCCTTACCTCGTACAAAGAGAGAAATATTGTTCCAAACATGAATATATCATTTGTATAAAAGTGCTTGTATTGGCTTTACCAGTTGTCAAAGACGTTTAGAACTAGTGCAGCTCGATCCAACAAGGCATAACTCAACAAGAGATTGCTATGAGACTAAATGTGTCGCAAAGTGTGATAAGTCGTGCATGAAATCGGTATGTAGCAACTGGATCTGCAACATACAGGCATGGAGGAGGAACAGAACGATCTACAAGTCGGCAAGACCGTTTTGCAGTTCTGACGGCAAGAAGAAACCCAACATTCACGGCTTCCAGAGTTAACAGCGTGCATGCAGATATCGCTGGGCGATGGAACACTATCAGTAGAGTTTCGAAAATTGGAGGAATTCTCTCTTTACTGACGAGTCCAGATTTCGTTTGTATACGAATGATGGCCGAATATTGATGTGGAGGGAAAGAGAACAGCGTTACAATGAAAATTTGAGAGTCCTAACTCCTCTTTTTGGAGGTGAATCCGTTTGCGTGTGGGAAGACATATGTTTTAGTCGTCTTAATTAATGAGACAATGACTGCTACAAGATATCGAGACAGAGTCATAATACCAATAGGTGTTCCATTTTTTGGTGCAATAGGCGAACATTTTGTTCTGATTGATGATAATGCTCGCCCTCACCGTGCGAGAATTGTCAACGAGTGTATAGAAGCTAAGGCGACACAGAGTTCTGCTGGGAAGCTGAGTTCCCAGCTGTTCTCCGCGTGTAGAGGTTCTCTCTCACCGGCTCTGGTAACTCGATTCAGCCATGTGTTACCTCTAGTCAAATTTAATTTAATACTGAACATCACAGTTATTTTACAACATAATGTACAATCTTTTATAACTAAATGTAATTTAAAGGGTTTTTACCCTAGTATTTTGGTGGCTCAGGCATTGTGACCTAGCATTTTCGATTTTAAAACCTGATGATGGACTGTGTGGTCCGAAAACGTTTGTTTTATTGATGTAGCCCTTTTAAGGGTTTTTTTTAAATAAATATACCCATTTACAAAGACTAACCTCTTTTTGTGATACGTGGTATACAGCCAGCTACAGGAATTTTTTCCTTGTCGATAATGCAGTAATAGTCTTGTTACACAAAAAAGGCGATATTACTAAATTAGAAAATTATAGACCCATCAGCCTCTTGACACATACGTACAAACTCTCTATGAAAATCTTAACAAAGAGGCTAACACCTAAACTTGATTTCTATCAGTCCAAGGAACAGGCAGGCTTCAGGGCAGGATATGGCACAAATGACCATTTGCATACCATAAAGACCTTAATAGAAAAGTGCATCGAGTACAACATACCACTGGTTCTTGTATTTGTCGATTACGAGAAGGCTTTTGATTCTGTGGAGGTTGAAACAATACTGGAAGCCCTAAATCAAAGCCGAATAGATTCCAGGTACACGACACTAATCAAAAACATCTACGAGAACGCTACATCAAGTATACGACTACACGAAGACACAGAAAAAATCAGCTTAGGTCGAGACGTTAGACAAAGAGACAATATTTCACCAAAAATTGTTCACGGCAGCTCTAGAGTCAATATTGAAGAGCATTCAATGGTAAGATATGGGTATCAATATAGATGCATTCGCTTAAAAGTATGTATGAAAGAGCAGGATTAAAGATAAACTTTGAGAAAACTAAACTTATAACAAATCTCGTAATGAGTGGAAATATAACTATTGACAATAATACCATACAACAAACAGACACTTACAAATATCTGGGACACGAAATCAAAATAAGCAGAGACAATCAAACAGATGAAATACAGAGGCGAATAGGCCTAACATGGGCAGCATTTGGCAAATTAAGCCATATTCTAAGAAGTTCAATTCCCATGTGTCTCAAGTGAAAGGTTTATAACCAATGTGTTTTACCTGTATAAACTTATGGAGCAGAGACTTTAACACTCACGCAAAAATCTTCGAATAAACTGAGACAAGACGTATTATGGAATGGACGCCCAGAAACTAAAAGAAGCCGAGGACGACCACCGACTATATGGACCGATGATATAAAACGTGTAACGGGAAACTGGCTATAAGCGGCCCAGTGTAGAGAACACTGGAAAGAACTGAGGGAGGCCTATGTCCAGCAGTGGACGCGATTGGCTGATTGATGATGAATACCTTGACAATAAGGCTAATATTAATGACGTTAAGTACAGATATCTGGAAATACAAATAAGGAAACAATGAAGATTCAAAAGTACCCAGACGATACCTATAATTGTTTCTACTACTGGAGTTATTCCGAAGAACCTCCTCGAAAACATAAAAAGCTGGGTCTGAATGAACATCTCTACAAGATCCTGCAGAAGGCTGTAATACTCTCGACGTACAGACGGGTACGAAAATTTTTGGACGATACTCCAGCATGGTAAGGTCACCTAGGGCTCCATAACACGGAAAGAGTCCCATCAGAGCTCAATCCTTCTGATACCCTAGGTAGGTATCTGAGTTGAGTGAATTTTCCCCTTGGAGGGAGTGAGAGCCGTATGGCTAAATCTGATAATATTAATAACTTAATAAAAACGAAGATTCGCAAAGTGGCGATAATTCTAAACTGGTCTAACTAAAATGTCAATTACAGTTAAGATAATAGAAGTGCAAAATTAATGAAGTTTTGTGAAACTAACATTGACTAACACAATCAGTGATATTTTAGAAAATACTACCATACCGTTTCACAGTCTACAATCGATCACATTAAAATATTTTAAAGTCTTTTACTCTACTTGAGAAGGAACTTTATTTGGATTTTTAGTTTTATTGGGACTATTATTTATTAGTACTATTCCAATTTCTGTCTTTTTTGTTAAGGCGCGATGTTTATTACTTACGTCTTCCAATACCAAATTAGATTTGCGTTTTCTAGATGACGGGTAAGTCGTTTCCAGAAATGATTCAACGGTTCCTTTTTCCCGAATCTGAAAATATATACATACTGTTACAATAATGCGTTACTATGTCTATGTATAGTGTACTACGTACACTATCCCAAATTAAAAAAGAACATTGAAAAAAAAATGTAGTAAACATTCTTTGCGCAAGCGATGTAGCGATGATACCACAAAACTGTTTAGATTTATACAAATTTGCAATTTTATTCTTTACTTCCATAAGATCTATAGTAAGAACATATATAATTTTGATTTATTTTCTCAACAAAATATGGACATTATCAAATCTTTTTCCTAACAATATAAATAAAGAAAGAAGAAGAATTCTCGCTAGAGGAAGAATTCATAGCTATGATTTATTGGGTGCAACTTACCATCTAGCTTATGGAGTGGCAATCTATGTTCGAAACAAAATAGAAAATGCACACATATGTTCTACATCAGACATAAATTACATTCATACAGTTACTATACAAATTGGCGAAATTACTGTCAGCAATATTTATAAACCCTCGGCAGTCCTGTAGCCTCCGCATGTTATTCACGCCCACTCACACCACTCAGTTTATGTGGGAGACTTTAACAGTCATCATGAACTCTGGAAGTATAGGCACAATGATCAAAACGGCGAGGCTCTAGCTTATTTAGTTTTTTGTAGTATTATTAGTATTTTTGACGCTAAAGATAGAGGAACTTTTCGATATGCAGCCTGGAAGCGAGAATATAACCCAGACCTATGTTTTGTTTCCACAAATGAAAACAATCAACCACTGGCAGCTTCACGTACAGTACAGCCAGATTTTCCACATAGCCAACATAGACCAGTAGTAATAGAAATTGGCATCAAAATACCAATAATATCATCTTTTCCTCGACCTAGGTGGAACTTTCAAAAAGCAGACTGGGCGACTTTTATTGAAATATTGGACAAATGTCTGGGATGGATACCCCCAACACGTGCAAACTACATGAGATTTGTTGGCGCGGTTATCTCTACAGCGAAGAAAACTATACCCAGAGGATATCGTTAAGAGTATGTCCCAGGATGGGATGAAAAATGTGAGAAATTTTATCAAAAATACAACGAAAGCCAAGACCGAGAAATTGCGGACGAACTACTGCACAGTTTGGATGCAGCCAGGCGACAAAAATGGATGGAAACTGTGGAAAAATTAGACTTTAGTAAATCAAGCAGAAAAGCATGGTCTTTACTTAGAAAACTTGGTAGTAGCAGACTCCCAACTAGAGACAAAGTACCAATAGCTCCCAACAGATTAGCCTTCCACATTGTAGCAACCTCAAGAGCACCTAGAGATTGTGATCCCACCACCAAAGTCAAACAAGAACTAAAAATACTAAAGTCTGCATGCCGGCCTACATCTGCATACTCTGACGAGTTTACTTCAGAAGAAATTATTTCAGCAATATCAGAAATTAAGTCTGGAAAGGCACCCGGCTCCGATAAAATTCATCCAGAATTTTTACTCCACTGTGGCAAAAATGCTAGAAAATGGCTGGCCGATTTCTATACAGATATGTTAAAATCAGGAGAAATCTCTCATTCACTAAAAAAAGGCCTCCATTATAGCCATATTAAAACCAGGAAAGGCAAATAATCAGCCCCAAAACTACCGACCGATTGCTTTGCTGAGCTGTGTCTATAAACTGTTAAAACGCTTAATCTACAATAGAATTAGTAGAAACATATTTAATTGATACCTATTGAGCAAGCAGGGTTCAAACCTAACCGTAGCTGCACAGATCAGATCCTATCCTTAACAACACATATTGAAGCAGGTTTTCAAAAAAAGCAAAAAACATCCGTTGCTTTCATTGATCTATCAGCTGGATACGATACTGTCTGGAGACAAGGACTAATCTGCAAACTAATCCGTGCCATCCCGTGTCAAAAGGTAACTAAACTCATCGATAACATGCTCACCGATAGACCTTTTCAAGTCACAATGGGCAATTTTAAAAGTGAGCAAATGAAGCTCAGCAATGGACTGTCACAGGGATCTGTTTTGGCACCCTTACTAGATCATCCGCTCTCAGACTTGTACACTCGGTGGCTGAATATGCTTCCCCGGTATGGCTCAATAGCAAACACACGAAGATTATTGACACCCAATTAAACCAGACAATGCGAATGATCTCAGGTACAATTAGACCCACACCGAACTAATGGCTTCCCATTCTAAGTCACATTCCACCGACGAAACTACGAGTCATTCTCTTCTCAGAGAATATCGAAAAATCGAGGCTAACCATCAACTACCCATCCACCATGATAAGCTTGATATCAAAATAAACAGACTGCGCTCCAGATATCCTCCATTGCCAAGAGCCAACTCCTTAGATCAGGAACATTTCTACCTCACCAACGCTTAGAGAAAACAATGGGAGAGCGACTCACCACAGGAAGCACACTAAATGGCCTGTATCGATCAGAAACCGACAGGCTTTGAACTGACCCGCAATACATGGACAACGCTAAACAGAATAAGAACAAGCAGCGGTAGATGTGCTGACAGCTTATATAGATGGAGAAAAGCGCTTACTCCTGAGTGTGACTGTGGTGCGTAACGACAGACCGTCCGTCACATTCTTGAAGAATGCCCCCGAAGGCGATTCCCTGGAGTTTTCGATGAGTTCCTGAATGCGACCGAAAATGTTTTACACTATATTGATAATACATTAGATGTTCATTTGTAATACTTCATGTAACGTTTTATATTGATTTTTAATTATATGTTCTTATTGTATGCCATAAGATAAATAAATAAATGTATAATCAATTACATAATTTGAAATAATAAAAAAATAAAGAATTTAATAAAACAAAAGATTACGTACGTCATTTGAATCGTAACTGTTAATCCTAGAACAACAACGTGAAAGTAGCGTTACGATACTAACAACGTGGCGTCGTATATGACTCCAAAAGAACTGGCCGGAAAGCATAACAACAGTACATTATTTTTTAAATAAAGTGTTTTTATTTTTGGTTATAAACATATATATTCATAAATTTTATACAAAAATGTTTTTGCATAAATAACAAATGAGAAACTTAAAATAAAACTGTGGTACTGGATAAAAGTATAAAAAATATTGACAATAATTTTTTGACAAAGTGCAACAACTGAACAATTTTTTTTTATGTAATGACACATAACAAACCAAAGGACACACTTTTATAAACAAAAAGTAATTTACTTGCAGTCACTGCAAATGCACATTTATCGCCCGCTTTCGGTTTTTGCTTCTTGGGCAAAAGTCACAACGACCCATTGAACCTTAGGACTTTTTTTCTATTATTTCTTCATATTTACAATTTAAATGTCTTCGATACTGCTGCGGTTTTGTCTTGTCCAGTGATTATTATACATTCGTTCTTTTAAACAATCTTTAACCAAAATGAACCACAGCTCGTTTAGAAAGTTTGATCGAGACAGTGGTTTATTAACATTTAGTTTATGTATGACGTAACTGTTGACTCCTGCAATATCCAACATGCCCTAGAAAATTCGCAATAGCCATCTGCAAGTTTTTCTGGCAGCTGTTTTTAAATAGCAGAGTTGATCAAACGTATCTACACCACCTTTTGTACTATTGTAGAACAATATTATCTCTGGCTTTTTCGATTCTTCATCTACATCATCTTGAGTATGCATAAATGATAAAAAAATGACGTTATTTTTTTTTTGGAACAAATGACACTAAAGTGTTTTTCCCATCAAAAGCAAATAGAGATAATGAAACTTGTTTTCCTTTTGTTTCAATTAGTTGTCGTAGTATTTCTGGCTTATTTTTCTAAGCGTTCCCACTACAGTACCTTTTTCTCCCCGATACGAACACTTCCAATACTTGATACGAAATGAACCAGTTATCCATGGTGCAACTAATATTGGTTCCGTATATATATATATATATATATATATATATATATATATATATATATATATATATATATATAACAAAAAAGAAGTACTTGTGACTCGTTTGGAAAAAATATAACACTGTTTTTGATGGGTTGGAGTCAATAAAAGGGGCTATTTGTTGACTATTTTTTTTACTCGAGCTTTCAATTGTGATTACAATTTTTATCAAGAGCTTCTAAAAAATACAAAATGTCTTACAAAGTTGAACTAATAAACTCTTAATAAAAAAAAGTTGATTAAAAAAAATTAAAAAAAATTTATTACAATTTTTATCAAGTTAAACTCTTGATAAAAATTGTAATCACAATTGAAAGCTCGAGTAAAAATATAGTCAACAAATAGCCCCTTTTATTGACTCCAACCCATCAAAAACAGTGTTATATATATATATATATATATATATATATATATATATATATATATATATATATATGTATATATATATATATGTATATATATATGTACATATATATATATATATATATATATATATATATATATATATATATATATATATATATATATATGTATATATATATATATATGTATATATATATGTACATATATATATTATATATATATATATATATATATACATATATATATATATGTATATATATATATATATATGTATATATATATATATATATATATATATATATATATATATATATATATATATATTATATAAGATTAATGTTTCTTGGGTTTAGGTTCAATAAAGATATGTTACATGTGGAACTAGATTTTATTTTCCATTGCAATTAATCAACGTTTCGGCAGGAAACCCTTGCCTTTGTCAAGATTCTAAAATGTGTATATATATAAGGACAAACAGATATTGTAAAATATGTATATGTATATGTATATGAGTTGTATAATTGGTTTTGATACTGTTGGGTTTGTTGTTAGTTGTATTGTTATAAAATTTATTGAGTCTTGATTTGAAAATAGTTTCGATTAGATGTTCGGAATATGCATGCTTTAGAAGGCCATTTTTTGCTTTTTTTATTGCAGTTGGTCTGTATTGTTCAAGACTCAATAAATTTTGTAACAATACAACTAACAACAAACCCAACAGTATCAAAACCACTTATACAACTCTTTCATATATAAAAGGTTTATCCGAACAACTAACAAATCTTTTAGCCAAACATAATATAACAGTGGCCCACAAAGGCAACAACCTCTTAAATAAATACTTCACTAAACTTAAAACACAAACTCCAAAACTTAAAAAATCACATGTTGTTTACGAGATACCATGTACAAACTGTGAAGGTGTCTATATCGGTCAAACCAGTCAACTGCTTCAATCCAGAATTCGTTCTCACAAATACGACAAGAACAACGTCACTGCGCTCACAAAACATGAAAGCGGGAAGAAACATAAATTTGACTTTGAAAACATCAAAACTTTAAAAACAGAAAAAAACAAAAAGAAGAGGGAGATATACGAATCAATAGAAATAAAAAGAAACACCAACGCAATAAATGACAAAAAAGATACACAAAACCTAAATAAAATATATTTCAATCTGATTTAAACAATAATAATATAACATCATAAAAAGCTCTTAAAGTCATAACATATCTCCACCTTACCTTTTTCGAAAACATCAACGATACGCCCATATAAAAATAATCATATACTAATGACAGTAAACAATGAGATATCAGATATCAACTTTTATATGTCGGTTCGTTAATGTCTGTGTCACGTTTTACGTTTTGGTAAGTCATATATATATATATATATATATATATATATATATATATATTATATATATATATATATATATATCCTCTAAAATAACAGCTGATCTGGTAGATGAAAAGTGAGTTGAGGTTAATTGGGTATACAGCTGAATAAAAGCCAAGTGCACTCTGTTCAACAGTTCATTATATTTCGCCAATTTTCATTGGCATCATCAGATGAAAGCTACAATTATTTAAAACATGGTAAAAATAAATAAAAATAAAAATAATAAAATATATTCAATAGTCTTACTTGATTGAGGTTGTGGCAATATGATTTATGTTATCATCAGAAAGGTTTGTGGTATGATGTGGATTGTAGTTTTTTTGGATATATAACATGTAGTTGTAAAAATGACAATTAAAATATTAAATGACAATATATAAATTAAAAAACAAAATAAACATAAAAACGTTTAGTTCGCAGATAGTCATTAAGGTTTAGTACTAGAAATACCAAATATCGAATGTTATTGATTGATGTGTAGCAGGAGATAATTAGTTCTATAGTGTTAATATAGTAGTTGTTTATTGATTGGGATTTACTGTAAAAGTGTGTTTTAGATAAAAATTTAAAAAATTTTTTTTTTTTTTGAAAATTTTGGAATTACATGTTGTGTTACAATAATTATTTAATAGTTATGTTTGTTTTTTCGATATGTAATAGATAAGCATAAATCTCACTCAAATGCTCAACATCTGATTTCTTATTTATTAAGTTATCCATTTGGGTATTATAATTTGCTATTCTCAATAAAAGACTCTTCCTCGAGATGGCATTTATCACCCAAATGGATAACTTAATAAATAAGAAATCAGATGTTGAGCATTTGAGTGAGATTTATGCTTATCTATTACATATCGAAAAAACAAACATAACTATTAAATAATTATTGTAACACAACATGTAATTCCAAAATTTTCAAAAAAAAAAAAAATTTTTTAAATTTTTATCTAAAACACACTTTTACAGTAAATCCCAATCAATAAACAACTACTATATTAACACTATAGAACTAATTATCTCCTACTACACATCAATCAATAACATTCGATATTTGGTATTTCTAGTACTAAACCTTAATGACTATCTGCGAACTAAACGTTTTTATGTTTATTTTGTTTTTTAATTTATATATTGTCATTTAATATTTTAATTGTCATTTTTACAACTACATGTTATATATCCAAAAAAACTACAATCCACATCATACCACAAACCTTTCTGATGATAACATAAATCATATTGCCACAACCTCAATCAAGTAAGACTATTGAATATATTTTATTATTTTTATTTTTATTTATTTTTACCATGTTTTAAATAATTGTAGCTTTCATCTGATGATGCCAATGAAAATTGGCGAAATATAATGAACTGTTGAACAGAGTGCACTTGGCTTTTATTCAGCTGTATACCCAATTAACCTCAACTCACTTTTTATATATATATATATATATATATATTATATATATATATATATATATATACATACATATTTTACAATATCTGTTTGTCCTTATATATATACACATTTTAGAATCTTGACAAAGGCAAGGGTTTCCTGCCGAAACGTTGATTGATTGCAATGGAAAATAAAATCTAGTTCCACATGTAACATATCTTTATTGAACCTAAACCCAAGAAACATTATTCTTATATTAAATATAATACGGTTCAAGAAACTCAAAACTACTATATATATATATATATATATATATATATATATATATATATATATATATATATATATATATGTATATATATATATATATATATATATATATATATATATGTATATATATTCAATGAAGTAGGTTTCAAGAAAAAAATCTTTTGATCTCGAGGATATCGGTCAGAGGAGAAATAATACAAGGAAATCACAGTTCCATTCCACGTTTCGCTTGTGGAGTTCACAAGCTTCATCAGTTCAATCTAAAACATATTACCATGGTGGTAGGCAATAATATACAAAAACATGGAAAAAATAACTTACGAATGGTAAGTAAAGTATAAAAGGTGTTAAACAAACACACCATTCCCTTGGTAACTGTGGTCAATACATTAAAATGTTGTTAAATTTATATTTATGACATTCCACTCTTGTCGGATAGGCCGCAATTGACGAAATGCCCCTGAAGATGATCTAGTGATCGAAAGTACTTGGGCAAGATTAAATTAATACTGTGCTCGATATTTGCCTTGTATATTATCAAAGTTCATTTATTCGAGCATTCAACCTTATATCAATCTATTTCACAATTTGTATATGACACAACAATTTCTAATAGATTGCCTGTAAAAAATAACTGCCACAATTTATCTATATTCCTTTTATTTCTAGCTGCTCCTTTTGATCCAGGAAGATAAGTAATTAAATTGTGCCGAGATGTTCTTGTATTCTTAGAATGAAAAGGTTTTAGACACCATTTTTGTGACCGTTCTTTGAATAAATTGTTGTGTTATATTGCGGACTATCTTTCCTTGTAGTTGGTTCTGGACTTTCTACCGCTTCTTCGGCCAAAATTTATGAATTACGTGCATCAAATTCATCTTCCACGTGATCTTCAGTTTTCTACAAATCTTCAGTCTCACTTTCCTCGATCTCAATACATGTCACCATCATCAGTGTCGTCCAAAAGCAACTTTTCAAGTTCATCATGAGTTAAAGACCGCTTTCTTTTATAAAGATTGTTCATGTTGGGGTTGTACTGGTATTTACCTAGTCAAATACAAAATATCTCTTAGTTTTTAGCAAAATAATAAAATAAAAAAATTACCTGATAAAAATTTATTTTTCACGTAAATAACAATGTGGCGTCGTATACGACAAATCGCTCAGATTTCACAACTTCAAAAAATTATTTGCACATACCCTCTTGCCTGCGTGATCATTGTCACTGAACTAAAAGATACTGGAAATACAAGCGATATGTACAGAAGGCCGTGAGTACACAGCGATTACATTTTTCACCGGTCATCGGCGATACCATGTTGTTGTTCTAGGGTTAAATGCGAAATTATTAAACGCTCGAAATTTAAATAATCATTAAGTTTTCTGAAATTTTTCAATTTTTGGTGCAATTTTCTTTCCATAAGAACCTACACAATATAAGAAAACTTAAAAAAAAAAGATGAATGAAACCGGTACGGTAAATTCGTTCTCGAGTTATGGCGTAACATAGGGATTCATTTTTGTATAATAAATTAAAAATATTCTAAAAATGTAAAATATTACCTCATCCACAGATCTAGATCTGCGTCTTGGAACATATTCATCCGGTGGAGTAATAATTATTTGTGGGGTGGTATATAAACAAGAAGGAGGAGAAGTATTCATGAGTTCCAATTTTTCATGATCAGAAAAATTTTCTGTTTCCAAAGCTTTCCTAACATTATTCAACACAGCTTCTTTGATTAACAGCGAGTGACTAAGTATGTTTCTCTGCTGTTTGAGCTTTTTGTCTAGCTCCTGTTTCATTTTGTCAGTACCTAGAGCCATTTTTTCTTTGTCATTTGTCTTTTCTAAAATGTTTTGGTTAATTTTACACTGCTTCTCGTCTACTCGATTTTGTATCGTTTGAATAATAGTTTCAAATTCTTTGTTAGTTTGTAGAATTTTCTTTCTTTCTGCATCTAATTGCATTATTTTGGTCTCCAGATTTCTGGTTTTATTTTTTTGTCTTTGAAGAAGTATTTTATAATTATTAATTTCAGTTGAGGTATGCAAATTTTCTTCAAAAACATCAACCAAGCACTTTCTTAATTCTTTGCTTTTGTTAAAAATTTTGGTATCTAAGTCTTTGGTTTTGGAATTATCATCTGACAATGCTTTTAACACGTTATTTATAGCGGTACCACAATTATCAACATTGTTTAAATCAAATTTAAACACAGGGAAGTCTTGCGTTGCCTTGATTGGACTTTTTTTAACAATAACTTTTCTGACACTTTTTTGAATACTTTTTGGTTCCGTTCTAAGGATTTTTATATCTTGAGTAATTTCCGCAAATTTCATCACATGTAAGTTTTCTTCCAAATTATCTATAGCAGGATTCACACATACTATCATTTGGACACTACCAACTCCTTCAAAATAGTTTTTGAATAAATGTGTTAATCTGCTATCACGATATGGGACTAGTTTAATAGAACCTTTGTTCAGTTGATTTTCTCGAAGTATTTCCAAACAAGTTCTAAGTGTCATAAGAGAATTGTTTATACTACTAGCCTCTTTTAACCTAAAAAGTATGTTAAAGAGTTAATAAAAACAAGATAAAAAATGAATAAATGAATTGTTAGATATGTGTGCTGGATTTTCTACTTTGTTTCACATTTATAGAACAAAGCGGACCAGTCGTAGCTCTTCAATACTCTTAGATGTGTGGTCAATGACTGATTTCTACTGCACAATACAGAACACCAGTTAATAAAGCTTATGTTCAATTCTAGCCCAAATTTCCCCGTCACTTTCAACCCTGTAATCAATCCAACTACCCAGATATCTAAAGTGTTCCACCCATGGACGTATAATATGTCCATGGTTCCACCCTTTCCAGGAGTTTGTTATGTATATGTTTTGCAAAAATATTTTCTTCAAGTTTTCCCTAACTTGTAATCTACATAAACTAATGTTCACAAATATTGTGTAAGTAGTTTCCAATATAAAGATAGTGGAAGCTCATTGTGAAACACCATGTATAATCTGGATGAAATGTATTTATACAGAGAGATTTATCTTTTATGATAAAACTTTTTTGAATCCAAAAATTGTTGTTCACTTCCAGATCTAGAATTTCTCAGATAACTAACCAAGGTACATACATAATAAATCTTATATTTAGTTGTTGCCTGAAGAATACAGTCAAATATTTTATTTAAAAACACTTACCTGGCACCAGTATTTTGAGTCCTATTACTCCTTTCAGAACCTGCTAAATCAGTGAGACTCAAATTGGATACAACTATATTCCTTTCTTGATCTACTGGAGTTACTCCATCATTGGAATTATTTATGTTTTCTAACTGTACAATTCTTAAATTAAAAACAGAATGACTCCTGCTGGATTCTGAATTAAGATTTGTATAAGCTATTTTCTTTTTCTTCTGACCTGTTACCAGCAAGTCAAAGGCTTCTTGTGCAGACTTAACTTCTATTTCAACTACTCCATTAACATACATATTGTGATTCAAATCTTCTCTCAAAATTTTATTCTGTAGAATTTTTCCTGTACTACAATCATCCAAAAGATCATATACATTATTGTTGTATATTTCTATATAAGAAATAAATACAGCATACTGACGACTTGTGTTTAAATTCGAAATTTTTGTACCATCATTGTGAAAAAGTGAGAATTCCAAATTATCAGCTTTTTTTCCCTTTTTAGAAATCTTCATTGACATCTTATTTTCTAACATCTGTTCCTTATTTGCTTCATCTTCGGATTGCACCTCAAAGCTATTAAGTTTATCAGTTTTGATTAAATATTTATTGGTCTGCATTCCTTCAATTGAGTTAAATATAGTATTAATAGACCTAGGTATTATTCCCGGATTATTTTTATCACCTGTTAACGTGTAAGTTTTACCAGACCCTGTTACTCCATATGCAAATAAGAGACCATTTTTTCCATTTAATAAATCTTCTATAACTGGGTAACCAATGTGATCAAATACTTCTTTTTGAGTAGAATGTGATGGGAAGATATGTTTAAATTTATAAAATGTATTTTTTCGAATGCCTTTAGACTCATTCGAAATACATAATTCTTGGGTAGACATAATTTCTATACATGTGTTTGAATCAACATTATTATGAGGAATTAGTCTAGAATACACTTTTACAGGATCTTTTTCTACATCAGAACCGGAAGACAATGTTGTTATTCGTCTCTTTGGTGTTTTAGGCGTATACTTATATTTTGAAGGAGTAAACATTGTATAACTTACTTTAAAAACATCTATTTTAATAATTTTTTGTTTAACTGTTATCACATAAGAATAACCTCTTTAAATTTTTGAATTTTTGACACAGAACATGAATACCTTTTTGACCAATAAAATTTATATCTATCTTCTGTTTTATTAATGGTCCTATTTCCATTGTTAAATCAGCCAGTTTGAAGAGAGGGAAATTCAGAAAATGTAAATAGTTTATAAAACGTACCATGCCAATGACCATTAGTTGTCGACGCATTAAACTCAATAAAAAAATAAATAAATCAAAATAACTACTCAGTAAATAAATTTAGTTTAGTTCAAAATTTAATAGTTGATGTGCGTGTTAAATTATTTTTTTGTCAAAGCATAAGACAAAATTCAAATTAACTGAATCGATAAATAACTTACTTTCCATCCTAGTTTTAACGTTCGGTGTTTTAACTCAATTGACTAACCAAGTATAAAATCTAAAACCTAAGTGCTGACTTGAATTAGTCTGTTGTAAAATTTATACTTAGCTTTGGGTTAATTTTATAAACGCCTTATTTTATCACTACATGTGGTTAAAAAATTATGTATTTTATGTAATCTAATTTAAAGTACACAATTCACATTTGTTTTTTTATAATACAATACATGCGAAAGTAATACCTACATATTAATCTTCCAGAGACTAGAAAATTCTATCAGAAGCAAAACAAAATGCGAAAAGAGTTTATAGGAAAGATTACATCAGAGTTTATTTAAAGAAATTGCCAAAGCTTAATAAAATATTACACGAAACCACCGCGAAACGTTCACTGAAATTTGGAATCAGACACATTACTTTGAAAACTGAAATAAATGAGTCATATGGAGATTCTCTGGATCAAGAATATTTTAATTAATTAAAATTCCTCTAAATAGGGACTTCCGAACTTTGACAGTTGGTAGCAGCAATACCACAGAATAATAAGCAATCAAAATGCCCACCCTGCTTGAAAAAATAAGTACGCGCATCTCGTTCGCGTAGACGGAATCAGCCATCTTTTAAATGGAACCAGTGCTGTCAGTGAAATTTTATCTGGTGTGCATAGAAAAATTAACCAGGTTTAATTTATTTACGGCAACTATAGAAATAATATGCACTATTTTATTCGTACTTTCAGATGATTTTTTTTTGTGTGTTTTGGCTTGGACAATTGTCATTCAGCCAGTCTTAATCAACTTTCAGTTGAATAGATTAATTTATTTCAAATGTACTAACTTATTAATCTCTAAAAAATTAAATTACAGTTCTGTCGAAGCTTTTGTCACAAATTTCTCAATTCAAGTCTATGTTTCCGTTTAAAATATAGCAATCGCGTGCTGATAGTGGGAATTCTTATTGTTATTTATTCTGTGGCCATACAGAGCTACATTTGTCAAATTCGGTGTGATTTTTTCAGTCCGCTTTGTCAAATGAAAAAAATGGACAATAGCGTACAACACGTACAAATAAAATAGTTTTATTAAAATAGGTGGTATGTTCGGCGGGCTTCATTTATTTTATGGTCAACATAGTCACCCTTAGAGAGTGTAGGGTGGTGAATAAATTTGAGACCACTGGTTTAATAAACAACCAACCAAAACAGGAGCTAAATGTAAATAACTATGGACAAAGACATATGTGTGCTGAATGAGCTATGAAACAGTTGAAAATTGTCTCCAATTTTCATCGAAAAATCTTCAGCGATGAGGTTCATCTTTGCATGAATGGGTACATCAACAAATTTGAATTTGTAGAATTTGGGATGATATCAATCCAGATGATATCCGAGAGCGCTCCCGAGACAGTCACTATTTGGCGTGTTTAGGGCTTGCTACGTCATCGATCCATATTTCCATATTTCAAAGAATGAAACAATGAACAACCAAGAAGACGGATCTACGCGCCACACAGCTCATGGAACATTGGACTTCTACCGAATCTACTTCTGGAAGCTACCGAACTTTCTTGTCGGGATTTTCTTAAGTCTCAGATCTATTTATTCTGATTTATGCGCCAGAGTTATGAAAAATTGGATATTTCGGATATATGTCACCCAACGAAGCCTCGGCGAACATTAGGACGACGTTAAATTCCATACATATGCTATACTCTCTATACTAGAGAGTCGTTTAAAGGGATAAAACAATTTGACGATATCTTACACACAGTTTGATCAATTTCAATTTAAAAATAGGAAGGGTTTGATCAAAGACCCTATAGAAATTAACATATTTAAATGTGAATTAAGATTAAACTGTCAAAAATCGGCTACAACATTGTAATTAATCATAAAGCTGTTATGCTTTAGGCTTTATTTAGCGAATATAATAGAAATAATTCTCTTTCTCACTCCATACTCTTTCTACTTGTATTATTTCTACATAAAGTTTTCTTTGTTAGACATTACTTACTTCCTTTTTAACTTCTGGTCAATAACTATCGTTTAATGGTGACCTATATATCACACGGAATTAACTACAAAATTATCGAGATAGTTATATGCAAGAGTTATTTTAACTTAACGCAAAGCGTTAAAAATAACTTTGGTGATACATCACAGAGCTGAATAAATGTATAGTAATATACATACTAAAATATCACTTGCCAAAGCATTGTCGTTGCGGCTTAATTATATTTTACTTTATCTTTGATATCTCGGGTTTTTTACAGTTAACAACCTTAATTTTCGACCATTTTTTCTCAGACAACCTTATAATCATATTTAAAAGATTACCTTTAATTTGGTAGAAAAAACATGCACATACGTCATAAGCAGCGTATTTTATTTAAAAAGTAAATGAACGAAATAAAATATTTGTGAAAAACTAACTACCATTAATTGAATTAAAATACTTGCAGTGGTTGACTGGCAACCTATCAGCAATGTATTCTCTTAATTTTAAATGTATGGAAAAATGTGAGTTTGATGAACTACGTTATGAACGTAGTGATTCTGCAGTGGGATCTTGTACTATAACCTTTAGTATCTTTATTAATCATTTAACTTGCTTATTGGTCACCTTTCACTGTAGGATATTATATTTTGAAACTTAAAAGTTTATGGAGAGCGTTTAACTATGTTGCTTGATTATAAAGGACTTTATTATTAACGGAACGTGTAGATACTCTACAGAACTTAAACGTATCGATTCTCTTTTATACTATGTTACACATGTTACAGTTCAGAAGCTGGACCCCCATTAGATCTACGCATTTTAATGGTCTCTATTGTAATAATCAAGCTGCACGTCTAGACGAAGCACCGTGGAAATGCTCCATGTCTAAACGCATCAGTAAAATTTTTATCTTTTATATACAGTATAGGTAAAAGTTTATGGTCGGTATGGTAGAATTTAACAGGATATCTAACACAGCTATAAAATCATATTTTCGGCGAATAGACAAAGAAAACAAATATATTTCCCCTTGGTTTCCCCTCCACATTTTTTAGACACGCCCACTAAAGAACGTCATACGATTATTTCCGATACAGCTCAGGTTATACGTAAGAAACAGCGGCAGGGTTGCCTTATTACATATTTGAATTTAAAGATTGCGTTGATTTAAAAAATTGGCGATCAGTGGTGCGATTATATTGCCATTCGAAACTCAATGATGATATTAAAAATGAAACATTAATTGACACAAATATTGGTCCAAAATTTCTAAAATCCATGAAAAATTTACAGATTCGCATTTTAATTTGACAAAGTTGTAACCCAATTTTGAATAAGATAATTTTGTAATAATGCTTTGTATAATAGATTTAGTTACTGTTTGTTACAATTTGGTGATGTGTTTGAACATTTAATTGCCTAAGAATTTGGTTTAGAATTTCTAATTGTTTGGATTTATTTTTAATTTTAACAGTAGTGTTGTAATTATTTTTTATCTGATTTCATTTTTATAGAATTCTTATTTTCACACTTACTACCTCCAAAAAATCTAACCTAAAATATAATTTCAAAGATATTACTTGGAAAATAGCAAATATTATCTTATTTTTAATTAAAAGACGTAATTTTTCGTACAGTTTATCCGTGATATACGTATGACATATCCATCGAGCAAAAAGATAAAAGAGGGAATCTAATCGTTATGAAAAGGAGACCAAAAAAGTGGCCTCTGATGGCGGACATATCCGGAAATGCAAAGGCGCTAAATTTAAATTTTCCAACACTTATTAACAATAGCTATAAAATATTTTTCAGACGAGAAAGTTTTAATTAAATATTAACTATAATAGTCTAAAAAGTGACACAATTGGTAAAAGATTTCAATATAAATAAAATTTCATGTGACAGTTGGGACAAACAATAACATAACCTAACTAAATTTGACTTCTTAAACAAGGAAAGAGACTGTCTATCCTTGTCTAAAGTGGCCTCTCAAGATGGCACGTCCTGTCTATCAATATGTTTACCCCACTACCTTTACATTCCCTCTTTTGTCTTATTGCTCGATGGACATATCACAGAACTAGTTTTGTTCGGTAGAGATGAGCCTTGTATCACCGAACTTTTTTATTCAACCGTTTATTTGTCGTTAACGAACCTACGGTTTCTCACTGGGAAGCCAACTAGTTGATGTTGTTCTGAAGCTGAAATCTTTATTGATAGTTCGTTAAAGGATTTATTTATTGTAAATATTCAATTAAGAAGTCTTTTTCTTAGTTAAAATCATTTACCTAGTACAAGCGTAATAATTGTATTTTCAAAAAATGCACATTTGTAGAAGATGCAGCTTTTATGCTCGACTTTTTGAATTTTGCAATTATCGATTATTTTTAATTTGAAATATTAACACATGGGAGTCCCCGATTCACGTTTTATATTATTCAGCAAACTAAATTTTTATTTGAAGTTGTGTTTTGTCTAACGTAAATGTGAATTTATTCTGTGAGTACTAAATATTTACTTTATTAACTAATTGTGTGTTTAACATGTCTGCGCGTAAAGATGTTAGTATTTTATGTCATCACTTTGAG